CTTTTTTGGTATAGTGACTCTTGTGTATCTTTTCATCTTCTTTTGATGATTTCTGCATCATTCAATATTTTGCCCAAAGATCCCCTTCAATGTTGCAACTCAAGGCTTGAATATTTCTTCGCGTTCTTCCAGCTTGAAAAATGTTGAATATGTTCTTCTTTTTGGTTCTAACTCCAGGTCTTTGCACTTTTTATTATAATACTCTACTTGGTCTTCTTGAGCTACCCTTTGAAATTTTCTGTTCAGCTCTTTTAATTCAGCATCTCTTCCATTTGCTTTAGCTATGCTACATTCAAGGGTGAAGTTTCAGGAGTTCGATCGGTAGTGGGAGCGGAGAGCGGATCCGAGAGCCCTGTACAGCCCCATCACCACTGGCCTAGTTACCATCACACCCAAGGAGAAGCCGCAGCTGCCACAGCCGGCTCCAGGCACCATCATCAGAACCATGAGCAGTGAGGCCAAGACCCAGCAGCCGTCTGCCAATCCCCACGCCACCCCCGCCCTCAGCACTGCCGTGGCCTTATATAGGCGGAGCATGATGGCAAGGACAACAAGGTCATAGCAACCAAGGTTTTGGGAACAGTAAAATGGTTCAATGTAAGGAACAGATATGGTTTAATCAATAGTGCTGTGCCAGAAGATGAGCCCCCTCGGTTGGAAGGCATTCAAAACCTGACTGGAGAAGAGGAGCCTCAAATTAGAGTCGACCTTAATGAAGATGCAGTGGAAGTAGTACCTCCAGTGTATCCATTAGTAATCGGAAACATGGGATGTACAAAGCATGAATGGAGGAAAATTCGAGGTCATCAAAACTGAAATGAAACATATCATTGTTACTATCTTAGGCATTAGTAACCTGGAATGGGCTGGTTCTGGCCATTTCACATCTGGCTATCATACGGTCTACTATTCTGGGTGCAACAAATTGAAGAAGAATGGTATTGCACTCATCACCAAAAAAGACATTTCAAAGTTTGTGTTGAAGTACAGCACTGTCGGTAATAGGTTAATATCCATACACCTACAAAAAAAAAAAGTCAGTTAATACAACCATTATTCAAATTTTAGCACCAACCAATGATGCCAAAGATAAAGAAATTAAAGGTTTCTACACACTGCTGCAGTCAGAAATAGATCAAATATGTAAGAAAGATATATTGATGATTATTGGTGACTGGAAAGCAAAAGTTGGAGAAAAAGAACAACAACCAGTAACTGGAGATTTTGGCCTTGGTGACAGAAACAAACCCAGAGATCGTATAATAGAATTTTGTAAGGTCAATAACTTGTGCATCGGAAATAGTTTTTTTTTTTTTTCAACGACATAAGTGATGACTATATACGTGGGCATCACCAGATGGACTACACCGGGAACAAATTGCCTATGTACGTGTGGAGAGACAAAAGAGATGCTTATTGTCATTAGTTCAAGACAAGGCCAGTAACCAACTGTGCCTCAGATCATCATTTGCTAATATAAAAGTTTGGATTAATACTGGAAAACAAAGCAAATCCACCATGGGCAAAGCACAACCCTGAACATATCCTGCCTGAATTGATAAAATTTCAAGAATAGATTTGGCAAACTGAACACTGACTGAAGATGAAGAGTTGTAGGAATACATCAGAGGCGTCAGACATGAAGAAAGTTGAAGGTCATTTAAAGGAAAGAAGGAAAAGGATATAGAACTTTTAAAATAGCAGAATCTTTAGCTTTTACTGGGGGTAGGTTGCAGGGACTGGGTGGAGGGTGAGAGGATGTAAGGTGCTGTTCTTGGGATGGGGATGGGTGATGGTTGAACACATGAATAATTTCACAATACTGTATATCAGGGTTGTTGAAATGGCTGGTTTTCTTACCACAATAAAAGTATTTTTTAAAAAGAGTAAAGTTTCAGAGTCTCTGCTGACATCAATTGTAATCTCTTCCTGTCTTTTTAATGACCTTTAGCTTTCTTCATGTATGATGTCCTTGATGTCATACCACAGTTCTTCTAATCTTTGGTCATTAATGTTCAAGGTATTAAATCTGTTCTGGAGATGGCTTCTAAATTCAGATAGGATATAGTCAAGGTAGTACGTTAGCTCTCACAGACTGATCTTATTACTTCAGTTTTAGCCTGAACTTGAATATGAACAATTGGTGTTCAAATTCCACAGTTAGCCCCTGGTCTTATTTTCTAATTACCCATACTTCTTCAATGTCAACTTTCACTTTCCAATCATCAGTAATTATCAATGAATCTTGATTGAATGTATGATCAGTTTCAGACTGCAGAAGTTGGCAAAAATCTTCAATTTCTTCATTTTGGGCAATAGCAGTTAGTATATAAATTTGAATTATAGATATATTAGTTCAGCTTCCTTCAATGGCAAATTGAAGAGGTACAGTGTTGCAGTCATTGTCCAAAAAATAACACATAAAGTAAACAATATATGATGTATAACTATATATTGTATAAAAACAACTGATTAAAGGGAGGTGCAGCTGGTTTCTAATGGAAAGTAGGAAAATGAATACGACCAAAAAAGAAAACAATAAATTTTATCTGCATTTTTTTTTTAATTTATAGTTTTACCTCGAATATGAAGATGCATAAAGGAGTTGTGGTAAGTTTCTGTATGATAAGCACTGAACTGCTAACCTCATGGTCAGTGGATCAAACCCACCAACTTCTCCTCAAGTATGAGTCAAAACAAACTCTTGGGTACTTAACAACAACAACAACATAAAGATTTCCAACCCAGCAACTCAGAGCCCCTCTCTTTCATATATATGAACCAAAACTGCAAAGTTGTTAACATCTGTCAATTCAGAGTATACAAGCATTTTTTATTCTTGATAATTTTATAACTTTATAAAAAGTTTATTAGGGAAATAACACTTACACTCATTTCTCCTTGAACAGAACTACTCAAATTGTTCTGCCTATATCCTTTTAAGCAACCAAATCCTCCAGAGAATAGGAAGGGAGGCTGGGAAATAATCCTAGGAAATTATAAGAATTCTGATGCTTTGTGCTTTCCTTTAAAATTCTAGCGAATTTAGAAATGTTTCCACAATATTTCTGCTTGTATTTTAATGTTAAATACATTAAGTCCCTATTTTTTTTCTATCAAAATCTAGAAAAAAATTTACATTTCAAGACGATGTACCCTGCTTATCAATTCTGGCTTCACATATTCCTATCACACCGTAGGGTGCCGCAGGACAGAGAGGGCTGGAATGCTTACATTACAAACTCTAGTTTGAAAAGAGTCAAAGAGTAACTGTATAGTTTCTTCTGAAATAAGACTACACAAAAACAGCACACAACAAGGCTCTGACCTTAATCTTGGCCTTGCCCCAACACCAGAACCTGTAACTCTATTTTCTACTGTAATACTAAACAACAGCATATTTCTTAAACCAACTATCACTAAAACAGTTATATGCTTTTACCATAAAAGATTAAATATTCAAAACAATAAAACTATGAACAAAGCTTTTTATTCAATATAATCCATGGCAGAATATATCAACATAAATCTCGTATACCAATCTAGGGATGAATAAATGAAAAGATATTACGGATTTATTTAGTTTTTGAAAGGTTCTATGAACTATGAACTTTTAAATATTCTGAATAACAGAAATTTTATATAAAAACGATTCAATAAAAAAATCTTACCTTTTAGTTTTCATCTGGTCCCTCAATTTGCTGTACATCTCCAAAACTTGAAAGAAGGGGAGAAAAAAGAGTACATAGCATTAGTGAGAGCAAGTAAAAGATGAGTTAAAGTTAAGTGAATCTCGTCAAGAGCCCTACTCCACTCCTGTTCCTCACCTGGAAGACACAGCATTAACTTATCAACAGTGGCAGAAATATTTCTCTGTTGTAGTCGGCACTGCTTCAGCTCTTCCATTGCGATTACCAGCTTGGCAGGAGGGAAAAAAACTGAATTATGCCAAGAGCTGTACATAAAAAGCTTTCAGTCACATTTTTCTACTCTTGTGTTCAGTTCATCAGAAAATTCCACTACCAAGTGGACTAAGGAACTTTGCCTTTCCCAACCGGTAAACCATTCCTGCAATTCTCTACTTTCTCCCAAAAATACATACTATGCTATGGCTAAGTAAAATGAAATCCTAAAACATAGGGGCTATCCAAGACAAAAGCAAAAAATTTGTATATTTTCCCAAACTCAACAGTACCCAAGTTCCTCTTCAAGATTTACAGTTTCATCAATCTTTTGAGATTCTCTATCTCCTTCCTCAGGGAAGAAAATAGTTGCTTGGCATTGTGGGTTAATGAGCTGGACTGCAAAATCAGTATGATCTGCAAGGTCGGCAGTTCAAGCTCACCAGCCGCTCCTCAGAAACCCCATACAAGGTCGCCATAGTCAAAACCAACTGGAAGGCACTTAACAGCAACAACAATACAGCTTCTGGAGTCCTAGTGTGGCACTGTGGGTTAATGCGCACTGGACTGCAAAGTCCATTTGAACCACAAGGTGGGCGGTTTAAGCTCACCAGCTACTCCTCAGAAGCCCTATACCGGGTTGCTACGAGTCAGACTGACTCCATGGCACTTAACAACAACACAGCTTCTAGTGAATCTGCAAATGATCCCCAACTAAAGCTCTATTTCAACAAATAAACCACACTTATAAGTTGTAGCTTTTCTAAGAGTTCCAGTTAAATAAACAGTAACTCACTTTTACTCCATTTTAACGGCTTCTGTCTGAAGTTACTTAAAATATAACTGAAACTGTACTCTCTTCATAATTTAGAATATGTGAGACATACTTTTAGGAAAAAAAAACAATCTACAAGGCTCTTGTAGCATTCATCCCATACTCACACCTAAAAATGTTATCTGCTTAGATACCGTGAAAAAAAGAACAAAGAATGACCCTGATTAAGTCACTGATAAAACAATTATGCTAATCTTAAAGTTTCTTAAAGTTAATACTTACATATTTGGTGATAAAGAAAAGAAAACGTACGATATAGAGAACGGTAATCAACTACAATTTAGAAAACTTGGGTGTTAGTCCCAGCCTTTCCAGTTACTATGTAAACTTTAGCATATCATGTTTTAGTTTCCTAATCAGTACAGTAATGATAACATCTGCCCAGACTTTCTCATAGGTCAGCCATGTGGATCAAGTAAGAAAATGGATATAACACAATCTTGTAAACAGTTAAGGTTTACATGGAATCAATTATTCATTTTTTAAAAACAATTTTATACCCATTTTATACTAGTCACTGTTTAAGTAAATAGAAGGGATGCAGCATTGAATCACACAAAAACTCCTGACCACCTCATAGAGAAATTATTAAATAGAGGGGGAAAGAATGCATCATACACAATATCAGAGCATGATCAGTAAAAGAGAGAAAAACAAAGCAGGAAAGAGTAAAACTCGAATGCAGGGAGGAGGTTAAGACTGCAAGCAAATGGTCCGAAAAGACCTTGTTATAATAAGGTAGCACTTGAGCAAAGATCTGAAGTAGGTGTGAGAAAAGGACATTCTGGCAGAGGGAACAGCACTGGCCATATTATGATTGCTCAAGTGACTTAAAACACAGATAAAGAAGGTTGCATCCTCTCAATAGGCTTCCTGGTGTTTGTGCACATTTAATTCAAACACACATTTGGAGAAGCAGCAATAATGTCCAAGTTCCTCCAGCAACAAACTACTTACAGTCTTACAAAACACTAAGTGAAAAACCCAGAGAACTATCTAAATAGAAATGCCACAAAACATAAAAGATTTTTCAAAAAGTAAACCGGTCTTACTTCCTTTCCCTCATGCTGTAGTTTTCTATTAGTATCCATCACTTGATTCTGTGGAGAGAAGACAATTTAAACTCATAAAAAAGAAACACTTAGACAATAGTTTAATAAGATCAAGAATTTTAGATTGAATTTCAGTACTCCATCATATATCATTCCAGTCATAGTCTTTTGGGCTTAAATTGCATCAACTTTTCTACTGGAAATTTGCATGACCTTTTGAACAAAAAGAAATTTTTACTAAAAGATGCATTTGGTTTGGAACACTACAAACTAAGATGATGATGACTAAAAATCATTTTTAACTTTGGAGAGAAAAACTATGTAATAAAAATCAAAGAACCTTATCATCTCTACAATATTCACAAAGAACCAATTTTATCGTATACACAGTCTTCACTTCACCAATGTACTTCTTGAAAAGATGGGTGTTAAGTGAACTTTTAACTCAATTTTTCCGTATTTGTTTATATACATTCCCGTTTTGCCAATGTAAAAACCAGACAGTAAAAAAAAAAGCATGAAAGAGCCTTTAAAAAAGAGCTATAGTTTATAATTTAAAGGAGTTGGCATCTACTTTTGTTGGCGCCTATCTTTGAGGTCTCAGATGATGGGGAAAAAATGAATGCATAAAATAGTAATTTCCTTACTATTTCAGACATTGTTGCTGTTGTTAAGTGCTGTTGAGTCAGTTCCGACCCATAGAGACCCTGTATAGGGTTTCCAAGGAGCAGCTGGTGAGCTTGAACCACCAACCTTGCAGTTTAAATGGCTTTACAATCTGGCACATTAACCCACAGCGCCACACCAGAACTCCATTAAAACATTAGCTATACTAAATTCTAAAATTTTAATACTTCCTTCCCTTCCATCAAGGAGCTCTGGTAACATAGTGATTACAAATCAGGCTGCTAACCTAAAGGTCGGCAGTTTGAAACTACCAGCTGTTCTGCGGAAGAAAGATGAGGCTTTCTGCTCCCGTAAAGATTTGCAGCCTCGAAAACCCTGTGCAGGGTCACTATGAGTCGGAATCGACTGCACGGTACTTAAGAACAACAACCCTTCCATCAACAACTGCCACTCCTTACATTTTAATGTGTTCTCCTAACCCAGCTTTTCCTATTATTGTCCCTTAGAACTCCAAGAAATGTTAACAGCAACTACACACACACACACAAACAGACACTTCTCCAGTTAGATATATATGGGAAACAACACTAAATATTCCACATACAATGTGAATGCCCAAGAAAGGGATTATCTTGCACAGTGTCTTCATACTTATTTAACCATAATGCCCTTTTAATGAGCCCTGCTAGCATAGTGGATTATGAGCTAGGCTGCTAACCACAAGGTCAGTAGTTTGGATCTACCAGTTGCTCCATGGTAGAAAGATGAAGCTGTCTGTTCCCATAGCTGGTGTGGTGCAGTAGAATCAACACTGGACTGTGAACCATAAGGTCAGCAGGTCAAACCCACCAGATACTCCTCAGAAACCATATACAGGGTCAGGAATGACTCGACAGCACTTAATAACAACTACAAAGATTTACAGCCTCTGAAATCCTATATAGGGTCACTATGAGTAGGAACCAACTCAGTGGCACACCATCACCACCCATGTCCTTTCATTGATGGACATCTCAAAGGAGCAGTTTTTTCAGAAAACACAGTTGAAAAGCACCACCTTAACCTACACCAAGGAGCTCTGGTAGCATAGTAGTTATGATTCGAACTGTGAACCGCAAGGTCAGCAGTTTGAATCTACCAGCTGTTCCATGGGAGAAAGATGAGGCTTTCTGCTCTGTAAAGATTTACAGCCTCAAAAACCCTGTACAGGGTCGCTATGAGTCGGAACCGACTCCACCGCACGTAACCACCAACAACAACCTATACCAAGACTACCATTTTCAGAGTACTGACCTTGTACACGTTCTAGCTACTCTCAAGATAACATGAAATCCTACCTAATTCAAGAGGCCTTTATAAAATATCAAAAGAAGGACAAGAAACACTCAAATTCCTTATTATTTATTTAGCAGCATCACACATAAAAGGCATGGCAATTTTATTGAACAGTGAGCTCAATATTAATTGAGTGTGATGTAGCTTCCAAAAATGTTGCTCTAAATTAAAATTAACAAAACATTCTCCAAGACAGAAGTCAGCAACCTTGTTCTGTAAGGGACCAGAGAGTCAGTATTTTAGGCTTTGTAGCTGCAACTACCCACCCAATTCTGTGGTTGTAGAGAAAGGCAACCATAGACAATATACAAATAAATGTGTTCCAATAAAACTTATTTTACAAAAACTGGTAGCAAGCTGGATTTGGCCTGCAAGATGTAGTCTGTCAATTCCTGGTCTTGGAAAAAAAATAAATAAATAATAAGATGGTAAGGTTGTAAAAGACTGCATCTAATGCATTTAGATGCCATGTTTAAAGAACAGCATCAACAAACTCAAGTTTGTTAGATGTGAATGAGGTTTCAGAACTTAAAACTATACCACATGAAACCAAACTGAAGGTATCTTTTAGCCTTGTAGTTGTTGTTAAGTGCCGTTGAGTTGATTCTGACCCATAGCAACCCTGTATAGGGTTTCCAAGGAGCAGATGGTGAGCTTGAACAGCTGACCTTGCAGTTCAAACAATTTTTTAGCCTAGAGAAGGAGAAATGCTCATTTGAAGACTCTATACACTAGACCTGGATAATCTACATTATACCTAAATAACAGTGGTCCTCCAAATATCTAAAGAGTGATCAGAAGAAAAGTAACCCCTACCCAAGATACAGTTTACTATTCAAACCAATAAATAGGTGCTACTAGAAAATACAATTCAGTTCAATGTAAGAAAAAGCTTTCAAGCAATGTGAATAATAAAAGGAACAGGTTACCTTGAATAATAGTACTATCCTCCTCACAAGCAGATATTCAAGAATAAACTACATGATTTTTTAAAATCCCAAGCTTGGTATCAATTCAGCTCTCCGTAAATACCAGTAAGGAGCCCTGGTAGTGCTACAGGATAAGCACTGAACTGCTGACCACAGGGTTAGCAGTTCACACACACCAGCTGCTCCATGGGAGGAAAATGAGGCTTTCTCCTCCATAAAGATTTACAGTTTCAGAAACCCTACACAGGCTCTCTGTAAATTGGAACTAATTTGACAGTACCTATGGTAGCGTAGTGGTTACGAATCGGGCTGCGAACCTTAAGGTCAGCGGTTCGAAACTACCAGCCACTCCGCGGGAGAAAGATGAGGCTTTCTACTCCCGTAAGGATTTACACCCTCGGAAACCCTGTACAGGGTCGCTATGGGTCGGAACCGACTCGACGGCACTTAACAACAACAACAAATCATTTAAACAGTCCTGAGCAGAATTGCATGTCATCGTTTCAAGCATAAAATTTAAGAATCGGGCTGCGAACCTTAAGGTCAGCGGTTCGAAACTACCAGCCGCTCCGCGGGAGAAAGATGAGGCTTTCTACTCCCGTAAGGATTTACACCCTCGGAAACCCTGTACAGGGTCGCTATGGGTCGGAACCGACTCGACGGCACTTAACAACAACTCCAGCCTTGGAAACCCTATACATGGTTGCTATGGGTCGGAACTGACTCGACGGCACTTAACAACAACAACAACACAAGTATAGGAGTCCTGGTGTGGTGCTGTGGGGTAAAGCACTGACCATCAGCAAGGTCAGTTTGAACCACAAAGTGGGCGATTCAAAATCACCAGTCACTCCTTGGAAACCCTAAACAGGGCTGCTATGAGTCGGAGCTGACTCAGTGATACTTAACAACAACAACAACACAAGTATAAGAAACACACGCACATACAAACACACAAAAATTGAAACAATTTTTAAATAAACAATGTTTATACTTAATACATGTAATATACTTTGCTATTTTCTGTTTAATTCCATTCTATTTAACTTCAGTTTTTATTGAAAATAGAGATCATGGCCCACCAAACTCATTTAATACCAACGATGATTTTAAAGTAAAACCACTGAGCCTAATGATCACTTCTCATTTATCAACATGGTGAGGTTCCAAAGACTAAGTCGTTACGCAAAAATTAGCATTATGTGAAAATGGCCACATCAGATCACAAAAAGGGGGCTGACTATCCCATAACATTACTGCCACATCCCTGAGAATCAAGTGCATAATCTTAACCATCACAGGCAGCGTCACTCTTCCTTTGCATCTCAGCATTCATTACTGCTAGATGTACATTGTTAACATGAAAAAGTCAGGTGGTACATTTGTTACTGTTGTCATAAATGTGAATGTTGGCTAATGAGCTAGCTGACAAATGAGGAGTAGCTGTATTTCAATACTACTTTACATAGCAAGACATAACAGTGAAAAAAACTATACTGACTTTGTAGGGTACTACTTCTTTGGATTTAAAGAACATAAATATATGGAGATTACACACACACACATATGAGGAGGCTTCAAAAACTTTATGGAAACATTCCACTTATCTTTTCATTCCATTTTCCCACAAACTTTTTGAACGCCCCTTGTGTGTGGGTGTATGTGCTTTCTGTGGATCAAAAAACTAATGAGCAAATGAAGAGAGCATAGTTTATTTTTTCACTATGTTAAATAGTACTGAAAGTTCTTGGTAAGTGCCATTGAGTCAGTTCTGATTCATAGCGACCCTGTATACGGTTTCTGAGGAGTGAGTGGTGGATTTAAACTGCCAACCTTATGGTTAGCAATCCAGTGCTTACCCTACAGCACCACACCAGGACTCCCGTACTCAAAGCAGTTAAGAATTAATTTTTTTCCATTTTTGAACTCCTTTTGATAGTTCTACATATACTTCATAAATTGTTGACCTGGATGGAAATGGCCCCCAATAAAGGAGAACCTCCTCTGTGTGCTGCAAGACACTGATCTCATTGGTCCTCAGAATAACTGGATGGAACCTGAAGCAACCCAAAACCATGAACTGGTGAACTCCAGCAAAAGCAGTCTTGTTAGGCATTCCTTTAAAACAGGGGTGGGGAACATCAGGCCCTGCCAAGG